AGATTAAAATGTTCAAATAATAGGATTTATTTAAATACAAAGAATATTTATGGCTAATTAAAACAAAACACTTTGAAAAGAGATTTTCTAATAAATCTTCCTTTAAAATTTTTAATTGATGATGAAAGAAAGAATTTGTTGCAAAATGGAGGATGGCGTGGATTGATTATAGAAAGACGATTTGAAGTTTCAAGGCTATTTTGTTGTTAGCTGTCTTCAAATTATGTTTAGATGATGAATTAAAAAGAAAAAAAAAATGGAGATGAAATGTAACTTAATAAATTTATAATCCAAATACAAACTATAACATTTTCTTAGTTTTATTGATATTTGAAGTTGCCCAAAACTATTCTTCTAATTGACATTTTTTGAAGTTGTGCATTTTGAACAAGTGCCCACTTCATCGGTGCCACAGATAGATAACGCAGTGCCACGGTAGATACTTGCAAGTGTCACTGCACCATCATGGCTGAAAACTTTCAATGACATTTTAATGTCATGGTAGATATTATTTGTGGCACTATCAAGCGCCATTAAAAAAAAGAGTTAGTGACACTTGTAAGTGTCATTACACCATCAAGACTAAAACCTTCCAGTGACACTTTAATGTCATGGTAGGCACTATTCGTGACGATAATTCGTTGTAGAACAATTTTAGGTATATTTATGTTAGGTATGTCTAAAAAGTAAAAAAAAAAAATTGCTTAAAATATTTTAAAAGTTCAGTAAAAACAAAAAAACACGAAAAACAAGAAAGTAGAATTTTCTGAAAAGTGTTTTTTAAAAACAGGAACCAAGCAAAGTGATTGCAACTAAAGTTTAGTGGCTTCTGTTGGTAAATGTCACAAACATAATTTTTTGTGTCATTATTTTATAAAATGTCATAAAATTGATGTGATATTTCTTTATTGAAATGTCACTAGAGCCTTATATATTTTGTGGTTCTGTGGCATTTTTCTAAAATATTTAATGCCAATTTTTATTTTTGTGGCATTTTCTAAAAACATGCTACTAGTGTAGTGTCATTAAAGTGTAAATTTGTTGTAGTGACGTTTTTGTTGTAGTGAAGTGACACTTTTTTTTAATTGAAATGCCACTAGAGCCTTGTATATTTGTGGCTCTGACATTTTTCTAAAAAATACCACCAAATATTCTTTTTGTGACATTTTTTAAGAACATGTCACTAGTATGGTGTCACTAAAATATGTTTTTGTTGTAGTGTTGTGACACTTGTTCATTGAAATGTCACTAGAGCCTTTTATGTTTGTCGTTTTGTGGCATTTTTCAAAAACGTGCCACTAAATATCATTTTTGTGGCATTTTCTAAAAATATGCCACTAGTGTAGTGCCACTAAAGTATGTTTTTGTTGTAGTTTTGTGACACTTGTTCATTGAAATGTCACTAGAGCCTTTTATGCTTGTCGTTTTATGGCATTTTTCAAAAACGTGCCACTAAATATCATTTTTTTGTGGCATTTTCTAAAAATATGCCACTAGTGTAGTGTCACTAAAGTATGTTTTTGTTGTAGTGACATTCTAATTCAGGCCAAGTTTTGGTAGACTAAATAAGTGTATTTTTTGTTTTTTTTTTTTGTATTATGTGTAGAAAAAGTATAGAGGAGATGTTGATTGATGTGACCCAAAAAAGATAAAAAGATAAAATAAATACACTTTTTTAGGTTAGCCAAACTTGACCTCAATTATCAAATACCATAACCAAAACAAGAACCAAGAGAAAAGATGTAAGCATTTTGCAGTCATTTGGTGAGGCTTAAATTTCGTTCCCTGCTTGATTATGTTAATAGGTCTAGCCTGTCACATGTTAAAATCAAGATTGAACCATTCAGTCTGGTCCATGAGTTTATTTTTGTGTCCCGTTTTGATAATTCGAACGGTTTAATAAGTAGAACTTCTCGAGTATTATATCCCTGTAAAATATCACGTTGATCAGATATTGATAGCTATTTGATCGGATCAAATTTTTGTCAACTGTTTATTTTTTTACCGTCAATTTTTTTTTTATACAAATCTGATTTGATCAAATAACTATCGATATTCAATCAACATGATTGTTTACAAGGATATAATATTCGATAAGTTTTATACATTGAACGATTTGAATTATTAAACGAGACTAAAAAATGAGTTCATGAGCCAGACTAAACGGTTCAATCTTAATCTCAAACATCAGATAAGTCAGACCCTATGTTAATATGATTGAAATACAAATCAAACATTTATCTCACGTGCTTTATGTTGGTTTGGTTCTAAATCGTCACGTCGGAATACGTTGTGATAATGGTCATGATTTACGGGTATTGAAAGTATCGAGTGATACATACAAAAAAAAAAATTATATATATAATATAATTATTTTAAAATAATCTCATTTGTTTACAATTTCTCGAACTTTAAACGGTACTAGTACTTGCATATAATTTACATGTATCCACTTGTTAAGTTGAGATATGTTGCTGTTCTAGACCTTGGTATTTTTGTTTATGCAACTTCCTTCTATCATATGAATCACGTTAATAAAATTTATCTTCTTTGTTGCTAAAAAAATTATTAAAAATAAAATAAAAAAGATTGATGATATTTCATCAGTGCTTTCCGCTTAGCAAAACATTGGCCCTATTTTTTGTTTTTATTTTTTATGATGTTTTCTCTTTTTTGTTTTTTTGTTTTTTTTTCTTCTCTCTTTTGTTGGTTTTAGTTGGACACTCTTAAAATTAAAACAACATAATTTTAGAGTAGCTGAAAAAAATACAAATAGTTTCCATTGACTTTTAAAAAATGTAAGAACATAAATAAATAAATAATCAATAAATACACATTATATCTTAACTCATATGAATTTATTTAAATTTGCAAAAGTAAAACAAAAAATGTGCCCACTAAAGTCATGATACCACTTACGGTGGCAGATTCATAAAGTCTTTAAAATTGTTGAAAAAAGAAATAAATTAAAAATATAAACAATATTTTGAGATATTTGAAATAATGAAAATTGATAAATAAGTAGAGATGGAGGGAGGGGGGCCAAAAAAATTGAAAAATATCATATATTATATTAGAAATTTTAAAATAATTTAAAATTATAAGAGTTCACACTGCCAAATTTTTTTAGATAATTTCAAAATTATATAGAGTAGCCCTCCAATTTTTTAAACTATTTGGATATTTTTTTGTTTTTTGAATTATTAGTTAACATATATAATAATCTATTTTAAATTTCATGTATATGCATTTTTTAAATTAGGTCAAGATGAAAGTAAAATTTTAGAAACTTTAATAGGTCAAAGTGTAAAATATGAAACTTTTACAAATACATAAACTATGAGGCTTGCTGGAAAAGCTTGTTTAAACAAAGTACTAAGATTAAAAAAAGAAAAGAAAACAACTGATTTGAGAGACTTGTTGCGAAAGAGAGAGGAGCGAAGAGATGAGGGAAGAAACGAAGAAGCTTTGTTGTTGGACTGTCTATCGGTGGTCCGGTGAAGGCTTCGTCGGAGCTGTTGGCGTGGACGGTGGATCCGTGGACTCTTACTGGTAAGTTATCTGATATCCCTTCGGCTTCAATCTGATTATATTCTACTTTTAGACTGAATATTATGATTGATTGTGATTTTAGACTGAATAATGTGATTATTTTGCTTTTAATTTGTTATTGGTTGTTAACTTGTTATTGGTGCGGTGAATATCTGATAATTGTTATTGGTACATTTATTAACTAAATATTGTGATATTTTTTTTTTAATACTGTGATTTATTGTAATTGGTAGGTACTGTGTGACTTCTTGATAATTGAATAGGGCTTTAGGTTATGATTTATTGATTTCCTCTAAGAATTTGGATAAAAATCTAAACGTTATTTTGTGTTGCCATATATTTTGTGACTTTTAGGAATATGATAGGATTGTGCTAACATATAAGATTCTGAAAGTTATTTTTTAGAGTCTATTTACATTAAAAATATAGTGCAATAATAATAATTATTATTATTCTTAATTGCTTTCAGGTTGTTGAATGATAATTATTGAAAGTTAAGTTAATCACGACGAACAAAAAAATCGATTCCTTCCTTAAGAAAAGAGGTTCTGAAAATATCGTTCAAAGTTCCACCAATGATGTTGAAACTTCAACTCCTCTAGAACGACGTCCTTCTAAACTTCCAAGAGTCGAATTTAAAGAAGTTGATATATCTTCTTTGGTGAAGGATCTGGGGTTGCGTCAACAAATATGGGATTACCCGGTATCTGAATGTGATGACATCAGATGTGCTTATATCAAATTCAGACCATATCAACCCAAGGCTCCGAACAATCAACCTTTTGAAATTGACAAGCATGGATGCCATTTTGTAGATTCTTGGAATAAGTTATTTCCGAATTGGTTGGAATACTCTTCGACAAAAAATCGTGCGTTTCGCCTTCCATTTTCTTTTTACTAAGCCAACTGGATGCCCTGGATCTAGTGCTTTTACGGTCAAGGGATTTTCATCTTCGAAGAAAGTCAATGAAGGGAAGAATTGTCCTCTGTTATCACATATGGGCAAGGATCCTAACTCATCACATAGAGTTGCTGTCAAATGTTGTTGTGATTTAACAAATCTAGCGCAACATATTGAGGCAATTATTGAAAAACAAACTTCCATACAAATTGCTAGAAATCGCTTGCGGTTGAAGACCTTGATAGATGTGATTAAATGGTTAACACTCCAAACCTATGCTTTTAGAGGTCGTGATGAACGCCACAAATCTAACAACTGAGGGAATGTTATTGAGTTGATAAAGCGCTTGGCTTCTTATAATGAGGATATGGTAGCAGTGGTTTTGGAAAATGCTCCTCAAAATGCTTCCTATCATTCCCATGGGATTCAAAAGTAGATTCTTAGTATTTTCTCTAATAAGATACAAAAATTCATTCGTGATTAGATTAATGATGGGAATTTTTGCATTCTAGTTGATGAATCTGAAGATGAATCAAAAAGAGAGCAAATGGCGATTGTTTTGAGATTTGTTGATAAATATGGATTTATAAAAGAGCGTTTCTTTGACATAGTTCATGTGTTAGATACCACGTCGGCAACTTTGAAAGAAAAAATTTGTATTCTCCTTTCTCATCATAACCTTAGTGCGCAAAATATTCGTGGTCAAGGATATGATGGTGCTAGTAACATGTTTGAAGAATGGACTGGGTTACAGGCTCTATTTTGTGCTGAGTGTCCATTCGCATATTATGTTCATTGCTTTTCTCATCGGCTCCAATTGGCTTTAGTAGGAGCATCTAAACAGGTTATATCTATCAATCAATTTTTCTCTTACTTAACTCGAGCAATTAATATAGTTGGCTCATCTTACAAAAGACATGATCAATTAAGAGCTGCTCAGGCGGCAAATATTGCTGAAAAGCTTGCCATTGATGATGAATTCGAGGCTAGTAAATAAAAAATTCATATTGGAACATTGAAACAGGCTGGACATACTCAATGGGGTTCTCATTTGTGTTCCATTTATAGTTTGATAAACATGTTCAGTACTGCTTGTGCAGTCCTAAGAATCATAATTAATGATGGAAGCAAATTGAATCAACGAGCTGAAGCAGATGGAATTTATGATTCCATACATCTTTTGAGTTTGTCTTCATCTTACATCTTATGAGGGATATCATGGAGATTACTGATGATATTTGCCAAGCTTTGTGTAGCACGCCCGCGAGGGGCCTTCGCTACAGTTCAGACTCGATTTGTGTCACGGTTCTTAATCTGAACCAAAGAGTCCAAATCTGGCAAATCGTTTTGAGAAACAGATTTTTAACAGGCTGGACATACTCAATGGGGTTCTCATTTGTGTTCCATTTATAGTTTGATAAACATGTTCAGTGCTACTTGTGCAGTCCTAAGAAACATAATTAATGATGGAAGCAAATTGAATCAACGAGCTGAATGGAATTTATGATTCCATATATCTTTTGAGTTTGTCTTCATCTTACATCTTATGAGGGATATCATGGAGATTACTGATGATATTTGCCAAGCTTTGCAAAGTAAATCTTAAGATATATTCAATGCAATGCATTTGGTGTCTACAACGAAGATACTTATTCTCAAATTTAGAGAAGATGGATGGGTTCCATTATTGGAGAAAATTAAATTATTTTTTAATGATCATGGTATACAGATTCCTGATATGAGTTATCCTCATAAAGGAGCCTGAGGTCGGTCTTGTTCTGAAAGAGATCAGCTTACTATGGAACATCATTTTCGAGTTAATATTTTTATGGTTACAGTTGATTCTCAGTTACAAGAATTAAACAATAAGTTTAAGGAAGATGTAATGGAATTGCTTGTTCTTAGCTCAGCTTTGGATCCTAGGGATGGTTATAGATCATATAACGATCCCGTTTTACCCCGACCTGTATTGTGTTCCGGATTCGGGTTCCGTGATTGTATATTGTTATCTATGTCTCTTTAATTCTTTGAATTTGAGTTTTGGGACTTGTTGGCCGAGTTTGGAACAGGTTGGTTGTTAGTTAGTCTAGAATGTTGTTGCCCAGAATTTGGCTTCTTCGCTCAAGCGAGCCTTGTGTAATCTATTCTTCGCTCTAGCGTGCGTCTGCATTGGATGGCAGACTTGAAGCTTTGTATTCTACGCTCGAGCGATGACTCTTGCGCTCGAGCGAGGTGACCTTTTTGTGCCTGGTCACTCGAGCGAGAACTCCTTCACTCGAGCGAGCCTGTTCATATCAGATCGTGAATGAGACATTTTAGGTCATGTTTGCAGCTCCTTCTCTTCCTCAAACTCTCCAAAAATCCATGTTTCCATACTCTCTCTCTAGAATACACCTTCTCTCTAAGATTTCATCTAGATCTGTTGTGTTCTTGACCCTAGTGTCTTTGAGAATAAGGTAGAAGGCTTTAAGAGCTTTGTTTTGATCCAAGAAGTAATTGGTTTCCTCATCCTTGAAGTTCCACCTTGTTGCTTGGGTTTTGTACACTTGAGGTAGGGAATTTTGGCACTCTAATATGGTTTTTAGCTTAGTTATTTTCTATTGTGTATATATGATGAGATATGGTTATGGTTGAGACAAATCTAGGATTTGGGTGTGAATGAAAAGATGGGTATTTGATGAATATGAGGTAAATGAGTATGAGGCTTGAATATAAGATCATGTTGTGCCAAAATAGTTGATTTTGGTGTTTGGGTTGATATTTGGAAAGAGGGAGAGTTTGCCCTAATTTTGATTAAATTATTATTTTGTATAAATAATTGGAATTAACATTGAAAATGTAAAATTAGAAGGTTGTGGTTATAAATAGTGATATTGGATATGTAATATCTCACCTATGGAAGTTTTGAATAAACCATTTATTTTGAGAGTGAACATCTCTTTAGAAATAATTGTATTGGGCTATTGGTGGAGGATAGCTATGATTGTTGTAGAAATGACATAAGGATTAGACGATTTAATGCTAATCCATTGTTGGTGTCATTGAATATGACTATGTTTATAAATACATTGTATATGTATGTTTATTGGGAGGAGAAATGAGATGTACTCCATATATGACTATGTTTATAAATGCATTGTATATGTATGTTCATCGGGAGGAGAAAGGAGATGTACTCCATATGTGATTATGTTTATAAATACATTGCACATGTATATTTGTTTTGGGAGGAGAAAGGAGATGGACTTCATTTAAAGCAAGTTGGCCAAAGTGTTCTGGGTGAAAGACCCGAAATTTTATACATAAATAGGTGTCGGTTCCTTCGGATAAAATATCCGTAAAATGACAGGTTTGAAGGGTTTATGTGTGTTTTGCATAACTGGGAAAACCATTGAGTTGTAGTCTCATTTTGGTTGTTGAAAGATAATGAATTTAACTCATGAATTGGGTAGCATATATGAATTGGAAATGAATTGAAGGAAAAATGGAAAGAGGTTAGGTCTTAAGGGCATATCAATATACAGGCTTTGTGGATGTTCTAGTATCGGTATTGTTTATATACATAGTATTTATACCTTTGCTAAACCTCATATATTGTGTTAGATTATCTCTACATAATTTTTATTAGGGTATTATTAATTTTTAATTGTAAACACACAACAAGGTTATATCATGGCATAATAAGCATGGAAAACAACCAAGACATGATCAATACACACTCTAACATGGTGCTCTCTCAAGAGGCCAAAAAGGGTCCCTTTCAAGGACAACAAGGAGAGGGGGTGGCCCTCCCCTTTTGGAGACTTCAAGGCACCATCTCCGCTACTGAAATCCCTCAAGATTTCAGTGGTGAAGAGGCTCAAACACCAAAGTCTCGAAACTCACTCAAAATGGCTCAAAATGGGGCCTTTCAAGGCCTAAGAGGGGTCAAACACCTCCAAACCACAAAACACTCTAAACAAACAATCAAGAGGGCTAAAAAATAGAACTTTTTTGTATTATACACCAAGCTCAAAAACAAATTTAAGACAAGTAGAAATACAATGCAAAATTGGGAAATAAAGAGGCAAAATTGTTACCCTTGAAGACCCCTTTAACAATGGTGCTCCAACAGCTCATTCTAGGTTGAAAACAGCTCCAAAACTTCAAAACCAACCTCTTAGAACCTCAGTAGCTAAGTGAAGGTGAAACACTATGTGTTTGTGTGCAATAGTAAGACACAAATGCACTTTAACACACACAAGAGGGAGATATAGAGATAGAAAGTGTATGGTTTCTAACCCTAGAACTCAAAACCCTAAAAATGGCTGTCTAAAAATATCTCAAGTCTCTCAAGTGTCTAACCTTAAGCCAAGAGACAAGGCTCTCTCTTATAGAGCCTTTTGTCTTGTAAAGCTTACAAGACAAGCTTCCAAAGAGGGACATCCCTCCATACACGTGTATGGAGGGGAGCAAAAAGCAAGACAACTGTGATAAAATATTTGCAAAAGCAGATGCACAGTAGTCGGCCGGCCAAAAATGCCATTTTGGCAAAAAGGAGTGCCGACCGGCAACAAAGAGTGCCGACCGGCAATATACATTGCCGATGGCAGCAAAAACCAGCCGGTGACCTCTAGCCACTGCCGGTGGTGTGTGGGGATGCCTCACAAAGCATTCCCTGCCCTTCCAAGTGAAAACACAAGTGTTTGGTGCAAAACCAGACACAAAACGGTCAAGTTCGGAGATCCTGAGGCAGGGCGCGTAGCTGAGACCTTTGGGAACTTCAAACGAACACGAACATGGATGATCACCGAGTGTTCAAACGGTGACGTCCAAGTCTTGAGGACGGTCAAAAATGGGGCATCTACAGTTGCCCCTCTTTGACAGAACTTGAAAGTCATAACAATGACGGGAGTGAATGTCAAAGCCCAGAGACGACCCATTTTTGACAAGGCCGAAGACTAAGACAAACATGCAAGACAAGCAAGATATGCGCCCGAAGGTAGGGGCAAAATGCAAGACAATGCACAGAGCCAAACACAACTTATGATCATGCAATATATACAAAACAATGTATATATATATATATAAAATGTAAATGAAGATGCAATGCAATTGAAACAATGCAAACTATATGCAAAGCAATTGAATTACGATCCAATCACGAGTGGTTCGAGACCACACCTATGTCAAATAGATTGATGGAGGTAACAAGTCTGTCTACCATAGAACGGTCTACTGAACTATGAGCATCGTAGACAGACACAAGAACGAGTATTGGGGGGGATTGACACAAGTGGGGAAACGACCCGCTGGAGAAAGGACAATGATCCTAATGCTGGATGCAAAGATTACACTACAATGTAATAGATATATGAATATGCTGGGGAGATGGCAATGGACATGGCACGCGGGCCAAACCAAATCTTGCCTAAGAAATTGATTAATATTGGAGATTATTTGCTTAAATCTTACAAAAATTAAAAATAACATATGTTTTTTTTCCATTGTTACTGTTTGTTGTCCTTACGTTTTTTTTTTCCTTGTAGTTTATCAATATTTAGCACATGTTGTCATGTTTTTTTTTTTGCTCTAATTTCTCAATTTATTCTTTTTTTGGGGCAATATGCTGAACATTCTGGTGAGTCTTCGACAATATCTTGATGTCTAGCGAACATTCTAGACATTCCGGTGACTTCTGCCGACATTAAAAAAACTCCAACGATATTTTGACGAATTTTTGGTAATATTCCAACAACTTTCCTGTGATGTTAATCATTCTGATAAGTTTCCGGGACACGAGAAGTATGGGCACATACCAGACCAAGCTCAATCATGGAAAGGTGCGAGCCATAGATGGAAGGGCAATGCAATGAATGCATGCAATCTAAAATACAATGGAAATGGCATGCAAGCCAAACCAAATTTTGCCTCGGAAAGGCATGTACGCATACGAGCCATGTCTAACACAGAAAAGGTGCCGCAACCCTCAAACCAACATATCAGCGTGGAATAGGCACGTACACATGCAGAACTGTGCTTTAACGTGAAAAGTAAGGGCACATACCAGACCAAGCTCAACCTGGAAAGGCGCAAGCCATAGATGGAAGGTGATGCAATAAATGCATGCAAACTACAATGCAATGGATATGGCACGCGGGCCAAACCAAATCTTGCCTAGGAAAGGCATGTATACAAACAAGCCACGGCTAACATAGAACGGTCCACTGAACTATGCTTTGACACGAGAAGTATGGGCACATACCAAACCAGGCTCAACATGGAAAGGCGCTAGCCATAGATGGAAGGGCAATGCAATGGAAATGGATATTTACAAAATGCATGACAATGCAGTATGATGCGATCTACTGGGGAAAATGCAATGGATGTATGCATGCTATAATGGAAATGCATGACAATGCACTATGATGCAACGGCTATGATTGCAACTTTCCCTATCTTACCAACAGGGCGATATACTAGGTTGGTTCAGTATCCAGAACTGAGGCGTAGACATGCCGCCTCAATCTATGGGGCTTCCATACAGATTTCAAGCCGAGGATACACCCCTGGGTATTTAAACCAGACTTTAGTCTCAGAACTCCCGAACCTTTGCGTTCTAGGCATAAGCCGTTCGAACTCTAGTTTCCACCGTCCCAGTTGGTCTTCTAGGAACTCACCGCGAACATAGGCAGGTGGCTTTACCAGACCACCGAAAGTCGTTCGGGCACGACAAACACCAAAGGAATTGCACCTTCAGAGGATTTAGGGTCTCCTAGACCCGGATGCAAAATGTATGCATGACAATGCATGTGTTTTTTTTGTTTTTGAAATGCAAATGATGTATAAAATGCATGTTGCATGAAACGCGCAACAATACGCGGCTTAAGATATGCATGGCAATGCAACCGAGCTGCACACATCAATGTGCCAAAGGTTTCGCACCTCCCAAGGATTTAAGGTCTCCTAGACCGTATAGATATGCCTGTGCGGTTCGTCGATTGCATGATAATGTATGTGACATTGACAACAGTCGTTCGGGCA